AATTTTCAACTTTTACTATGATTATTTAATAATAGAGTAAGTTTTCATGCATACCAAAAATTTCCCCCTAATTCAGCTTCATTCAAATCTATATTTAATTGCTTTGAGTTAACATTAAGTGAACTCATGAACTTGAATAAGATCTAGCAGGTGACCTGATTGTGTAAGTTTCCCATATGTGGGAAATATGCATATAAGTATGTATATACAGATTCTATTTGTATTAATACCTTATGCTAAGTACATCCATTTATTGGTGCTTCATCTTTATGAAACCAAAGAAAGTGAATGCTATAAATAAAGATGGTCACTTTAGAAAAAAGACAGTGGCTGCCTCGGAAGGGAGCTAGTTGACAGGGGTTTGGAGATTGTGTTTGGACTCAGCAGGATGGAAAGTTTGCATTTGATTAGTAATATCTGTGATGACATGGGAAGGGGACCACGGTGATGCCCATGCCTTGTGTTTATCTTGGAAATTTTTAACTTAGGAACTCTTTATGGTATCTTGGAAACATGAGTTGCTTCCTCCATTTCATAGGGAGCAGAAAGGAACAGCAGGTGGAAATAGCCCAGAATTAAACCTTTTATTTACTTTCTCTGTTCCCTTTTTTAAAAAACTTATAGTTGATTTGCAATATTGTATCTGTTCCAGGTGTGCAGCACAGTGATTCAGTATTTTTATACATTATACTTCATTTACAGAATCAGACCTTTTAGTATCTCTCGCTTGTTTCATTTCTCTTCCTATTCATCTGTTAATAGATTATTTGAGATAATGCCTTACGAATGTTTATGCTGTTTGCCCCTTTCCATTCCCATTGCCGCTGTTGCAGTTTTGACCCTGCTGTCGAGATCATGCCCTGCTTCTGGCGTTTACAGTGTTTGGTAAGGTCAAGGATCATGGGCTCCGTGAAAACCATGTGAAAGCTCTGCCCCATTTCTAGGAAAACGCAATGTCTACGTAGACTCCTGTCAGTGTGTTCAGGAAGGTTGTGAGCTCCCCGAGGTCTGTGCTGACTTACAAACCCCTCATCTGTTTCTCTCCCTCTCATCTACCCCACAAGGTTTTATCAGAGTAATATTTCTAACACATGATTTGGGTCATATTGCTCTCTGCTCAGAACCAATTCATTTCCCCACTGCCTTCAGAACAAAAAGAAGTCAAATCTGCTTGGATTGGGCTCCAAGCTCTTTTTTTTAATCAAAATGTATTTGGCATATAACACTGTGTGTTAAGGTGTGTAACATGATACATTGACACATTTATATATAGTAAGATGATTACTATTGTAGGGATAATTAGCACCTGTTACATCACATAATTGGAGAAGGAAATGGCAACCCACTCCAGTGTTCTTGCCTGGAAAATCTCAGGGACAGAGGAGCCTGGCGGGCTACAGTCCATGGGGTCACACCGAGTAACAGCATGCACATGCATCACATAATTATCCTTTCTTTTCAGTGGTCCCAGCTCTTTCACGTTCTCGCCTTTGCAGCTTTTTTGCCTGTCCTCCTCCCCTGCGTCCTCCTCCCAAGTATGCAACCTCTCCGTGTAACCGGGACACTTGCTCCCTCCCTCCACGGTTGGTGCACTTTGCTCCCACGGCTGCTGCTCCCTGAACATCCTTTTCGGTCTGTTCAGGCCCTTTGTAACCTTCAAGCCCAGTGTCTGTTCTGACTCTCAGATATTCCTGCAGATGGAGCTGTCTGTACCAGTGAATGCCTTGTGTAGTATCCTGTCCATCACAGGGGGCCCAGGTGTGACTGAGAGGCTGCCCCCTGAGGGCAGGACCTGCACTGGGGGACAAGAGGGATAACAGGCCTAAGGAATTGATTTTTTGCTAGACTTTATGCATTTACTCCCTTTTTATAATAATGCGACAAGCGATAAGAAAGGAACTGAGAAGGCTTACTAACAGATGCAAATGAAAGGTATAAAGCATATGAGAAGTGAATTGTTGGAATTTGAATTTATATGTCAAACAAACAAATAAAAAAGCAGGACTGTCCTCGTTCCTAGACATCTGTGGCCGGCTGAGTGGTTCTGAGCATCTTGGGTGCTCTCCTGTGGAGGGGGGCTTGGCTGCTCTAGGCTGGTCTAGAATGGTCTTGGATGAGGCATGAGTCAGCTCCGTTCTGTGTTTCTCAGGCATGACAGGCTAGCCCTGGTGCGTTCTCACGGCAGTTTCAGAGGAGCAAAGAAAAGACATAAACGTAGCAAGAACTTTTCCAGACTTCTCCATGCGGCATACTTGCTAACGTGCCATTGGCTGAAGCAAGTTGCATGCCGAAATCACACTTAAAGGAGGCAGGACTGAGCCTCTTGGGAAGAGCAGCTGCAAGGGGCAGGGAGGGCTGAGGATGTGCCGTGAGTGCAATGGACTTGGTCAGCATCAGGCTCTATGGGCTCAGACCAGAGACCTGAGAGCCAAAGGCAGGGAGGAAGACGACATTCAGTTTTCGCTCTAAGAAGAACCCTTTTTAAATGAAAACTTTGCAATAAAATACATATTATGTATTCCCTAGTTCACTCTTTAGAGTTCATTTGTACATAGTTACAGGCTAAAAAAAAATAGACCAAGTAAAGAGTCATTTATAAATAACATATTAATAAACCAAGTTAAAGGAGCTTTATTTATCCTTTAACCTTCAATTTGCATTATTTGGGAGCAGTCACGGGAAATGGTGCCAACCTTACCTCAGGTCAGATGGCTTAGCAAAATGAACTGTTTCATGCCCAGAAATAAACGTCTTCCAAACATAAATATGAATCAGTTATAAAACGGAATCTTTTGGAAGTACAAAATAACCACACTGCTAATATATTTGTGTCCCAATTGAAAGTGTGTCAAGAACACACGTTCTAGGCTAAAGTTGTCCCAAGGAGTGATTCTCATTTTTGCTTTGAATCTGTATAAACAAACCGGGATGCCTTCTTTGAGCCATGAGCAAATCCACAGCTCCCTGTTTTCTGAAGAGAAGAAGAATTAAAGATGGGGCTGTTTACGTTGGAAGGGTCTGGGGCTTGACCTTGCTACTTTAAATTTCCTTCATCACTAGGAAATTGCTTTGAATTTGTCTGCTTGGAGAACCCTAATTTGGTTTGTTCTTGGTTTGAACCACACCATAAGAGAGATGCTGTCCATTTGTATTATAGCAAAACTTGGAAGCCGCCGCAGTGACACTGTTTTCCAGTTTTCCTCGCTGATGTTTTCATCTTTAACCTGAGCTTGTTCTCGGTAATTCAGAATGAGATCCCTGACGTCTTACTGCCTGAGTGAGAGTCCCAGCTAGTCTCTTTTTTACAGTTTGCCTTTGGACAAAATTTTAAACCTTTCTCTGCCTCTTTTTTCCTCATGGGAACAACAGGGTTATTAATAATGCCTACCTCATACAAGCATTGTCAGGATTAAATTAATGAAATTAGGTGAGAACATTAGTGAACCCAGCCCACAAAATGTGCTTAAGAAGCCTTATACATTAAACTGCTTATTATTATTATTATTAAGTATTGAGAATGTTTAGGTTGTTTTCACTGACTCAGGTTTCATGCATATTCTTTAAAATCCAAGTCAGATTTATACCTTCAAAAAATAAGTTGAGATTCAATATTATTTTCATACAAAGGCAAAGTTTGTTTTTAGGTGTTAGTGTTGAAGGTAGTGGTTGAAATGTGGTATATCTACTCACACTTAAAGCCACAGGGGTCACAAACACAAACTTCTTCCTGCCTTGGCCGTTCTTTAATATTGTTTGAAGGGGGAAGAAGATTTATAATAAGCAGATGAATTGTTAGCAAACATTTTGCCTTTTAGCACACCTAGTGTTCACTCTGCATGGAGCCAGAGTATAGAAGAAAGAGCAGCATCTTGAGAAGCTGAGTGGAGTTGCCGAGAAAACTTGCACACGCACACCCGCATATGCACACACGCCTAAGCAGCACACAGTTTAACCGCATGGCGGCGGCCTTGATGGTACCAGGTGGAAGGGCAATGAGCTCAGACTGAGTTCAGACTTAGTGCTCTCAGCATGGTCAGATCACACACATAACACTGGGTCCAACTGCAGGATGACAGATGCATGTACATATATGCACATCGTACACGTGAGTTACAAACATGCAAACACTGTTCCTTGTCCTGGGTACTTATATTGTAAGTGTTTAAAGAAAAAAAAAAAGCCTACTAGAAAGATACAAACAAACTGGTGACCTGATCTTAGAGCAGGTCGTCAAGGAGATGATACCTATGCTCCATTTTGTTTGCTTTTTTAAAAAGAGCCGATAATAACAAAATGCTGTCCGTGGTCCATTCTGGGTAGAGGGGAACCAGATGTTTGTCTTGCCCTCACCAACCTCTGCGTCCCCCTGATTTCTAAGCTCCTCACAGCAGCCACAGTCATGGGACTACAGTCACTGAAAGAGCAGCCCCTCGCTTGCTGTGCAGACAGGCACTTGGAGGCGTCATCTCTTGCTCTTTCATCTGTTTAGAAGACCCAGGGGAAGTATCCCCAGCATCACTGCACTTGACACCATCCAGCATCTCCATGGGGTCCTCTCGGCCCCACCCCCTGCTGACTCACAGGGGCACGGCCGAAGCGTGTTAGGACCTACCCTGGGGACCATCCTCTGACACCCAGCTGGGCAGTGTTTAGCACAGAAGTTCTAAATTGTTTAAGATTCACATTTGCCTTTTAGACCTCTTCCAAGGCCGGGGATCCTGTGCATAGGAAAGTAGGTCCTTGGGACTCAGAAACCCTGTCCCATCCCATACTGTGTTATTAGAATCCCTGTGTTAAAGTCCTTTTCTCTGAAACTGGCTCCTCTGTGGAATGGGATTTTATCTAAGTCTATTTGCATGTATTCAAAATCAGAGACAGCTCTGAAACCAGACCCTATTCAAACATAGAAAGAAGAACAGTGGCGGATTAAGCAAATGTTGGGGAACTTTAAAAAAAAAAAAAACACTTTTATTTATCTTCTTGTGTTTCTCTTTTTCCAGATCTGCAGTCTCCCTCCCACTGGCCGTCCTGCCTGGGTGCCAAGTTCCACACGGGGTTTCATGGATCGGCAGGTCAGATGTTACACTTGTTTGCAGATTTGTGATTTTATGATTGTCACTTTGCAGCATTCTGGGAGTGATCTTCTCGTTTATGCATTGCTGGTGTTGTTATTTAAGATAGTTTTGAACTCTGTAGTTATTAAGGAGAAACACAAAGCATTCAGCAGGTTAAAAATAAACATAATGGAAAAAAGGATGCTTCAAATTCATTTGGGGAGAAAAAGTAATAATTGGGCACAGAGAGAAAGGAGACCACTTGTCATTTGTTATGTGAAAAAATGCTGAATGGAGAACCAGAGTTCCCTCCAACCTCTCTTCCTTGAGTGCTAAAGAAGGCAGAAGGATCGCATCTCTACCCTGGGTTGGAGCAAGTCAGGTAGCCGAGAGCAACGGTGCAGTGAAGACCCATTTCCCACACAGACAAGCCCCACAGCCTCCCTTCGTTCCCCCGAAGTCGAGAAATATTTGGAATGCTAGGATGTCATTTGGAACCCAGTTTGTTGACATTATTATAACAACGGTTTCAGTTTGTCTCCGCAGTTAAGATTGTGTCAGCACTTTCCTTTCTGTGTTTATTATTTTTAGCAGTTTAAAAGCTAACCAGGAAAGATGGCTTTCTGGCAGCGAGGTGACATTCCGGCTGGGCCAGGGTCTGTGGCGTCTGGACAGCCGTGGCTGGCGGTGGAGCCGGGCCCTCTGAATGCTGTCTTTGTGCCTGCCATCGCCAGCGCCTCTGGCCTATTGTCCGGCTGCCTGGGTTGGGATGGCGCTATCTGATTGTCGCCAGTGCTAATATTACAGAGCTCGGGGCCCTGGCCGCCCGGGGGCCCCTCCTCGAGCTGCCGCTGTCTCCCAGCCTTCCCTCCAGGGGGCCAGTCCCGGCTCTCATATCAGAAACACGATTTGTGATTTATAGAAGGTTCCAGGGAGAGGGATCGGTAAGAATCGGCTAGACCTGCACTTCTCCAACTTTTTAAATTTTTCTTTTTTTTTACAAAGAACACTTGAATGCAGTCTTCCAGTGAAAGGCAATTTGTAAGATACGGAAAAGTACAGTAGTTCCGCTGGGAGGCGGGAAGCCCACGCTTCTGCCTGCACGCCGCCCACCTGCAATGAAGGTGGCTTCTCAGGCCCCCAGGAAACCTCAGAGGACTTGCCCACTGTTTTCACGGGGCAGACCCCTCAATTTGCAGATAAGGAAGCCAAGAGGTGTTTTATAGATGCTTAAAACATGAGACATCAGTCACTTAAAAACTACACTGTGTTCATCCATTTTTACCTTGTTCTGAAAAAGGCACAGCTATTCTGTGGTGATAGCAATCAAAATAGTGGCTACTTTGGGGAGAGACCAGCTTGGCTAGGCAGGGGCACAGGGAATTTTCTGGGGTGATAGAAATGTCTGTCTTCATAGACATGTGTGCTGCATGGCATTTGTCAAAACCTGCTTCCTTTTTGCTATACATAAATTCTACCTCTGTTAACAAATGAAAGCAACAAAGGAAAACAAAGCAAAAAAAAAAAACTAGCTGAGAGCAAAAAAATTACTGAGAAGTTCCTGAAATACTGAAAATACTGATGGTCTTTCTTTAAGCCGTGTGCACTCTTTGTTGAGTGGGGTTTATAGTCATTATGCAAAGTTGGAGAAGACAAGAGGCCACGCTGCTTTTCCAACACTTGCTTTGTTCAATAATTTCCAAAACTAGGAAACAAAAGTTCTCAGAGTATTTCAGGCAACAGAACCCCTGAATACCTTCTGGCCCGTAATGCTGCTAAAGGAGAATGTAGGGGATTTCTGGGGTGGAGGTCCCAAGTACAATACTTGATTCATGCATTTCTTGGACATGGACTGTGGATAATGCTCGGGAAATTGTCCATAATTTTTTAACCTCTGCTCTTTCATCTGAATACTCTTTTGGGACCTGTGAAATGTAAGATTCCTCCTTTTGTATCTTTTCAGAGTAGAACTTCTGGTGACAGGTTGGAATTCCGGCCTTTAGTGACCTGAATAAAGCATCCTTTAAAATGGACATTTCTCCCCCAGAAATACTTGGAGCCAAATCTATTTGAGTTTTTCTGTTTGTGTGTTTTAGAAAGTCCGGCAGTAACGTGGAAGGTTATCGTTTGGGTTGAAACACTTGCTGGTGTCCTGGGCCCAGGCAGATCAGACCCAGTGGCCAGGCCTGCCAATTAGAGCTTGATGAGGAAGCCAGACTGAGAAGAGCCAGGAGGGGGTTTTAAACAGTGTCGGGAGATGGTGAGAGAGGGTCACAGGAGGCTGAGGCAGTGAGGATTTAAAGGCACAATGTAGTTCCAGGCCCCCGGTACACCCAAATCCACAGATGCCCAAGGCCCTCAAGTCGACACGATGATGCAGTAGAGTTGACCCTCCTTATCCCTGGGCTCCGCATCCGTGGGTTCAGCCGATCTCAGAGTGGTCCAGGGGGTTCATTGTATCCCATGTTCCCACCTCCGAGGCTGTGTGGCTTTTCTTCAGGAAAAAACAAACTGCTCCTTCAGTGACTTCCCAGCAAAGGGCCATGATCTAGTTCATTCACAAGATGCATCCACAGAACCAAAAATTTAGTTCACTCTTGGAGCTATGGCAAAGCTGAATCATTCGTCAAAGAACATTTTAAATAACATTCTAGAAACCCACACATACTGCACTCTGCCTGCACGGACACGCAAATGTTCTCATCAAATCAAATTTAATTCAGCAAGATTTGTATCCAGCCAATTTAGGTTAATGTGCATAAGAGCAGAAATGAAATTGCAGGATGGAAGAGTCTGAGCAGAATTTGCTTTTTTGCAATTCAGTGCCATTTAAAAGGAGCTGTTTCTTCAAGTCATTCATTATGAGTCAATTTATCCAAATGGCAAATACCAAGAATTGTGTGACTTCTCCATTCCAGGGACTTGGGACAAGTGATTCCCTGAGGGCCAACGTTCTTGAAATCTCTGTGTGTATGTATGTATGTGTGCATTTATCTACAGGGCCAGGGGTGTTTGGAAAATGCAACATATGTTTACTCAGATTTCAGTTATACATAAGAATGAGAGTAAAATGTCAATAACTGAAGTCCGGTTGGTTGATAGGTTGGTTGATATTTTTTCCCTCTGACTTTTGAAAATTAGCAACCTGAACCTTTTCAACCCCTAAATGGCTGATGAGGGCTGTGAACAAGTGGGAACACAACCTGATTTGAATTTTATCTCCTTCTCCCTCTCTCAATTATTGTCTTTGCTGATGCCTTGGGGCCAGTAACAACTAAGAAACTGTGAAAGAAAAACAGGAAAGCCTTTAATGTGCATGTTCTTCTTCTCAATTTCCAGACAAGGTAACAGGGGGAGGCGTAAGGAACAATGCTGAGGATGTCGGAGCGGTAGGGCTGGGCTCAAACGCAGACCTTTCTCTCTGTAAGCTCTTGTCTCAAGAAGATCTGGTACTCGGTGACAAAACAGATGGGCAGAATGGATTGGAAAATGACAGGGATGGCAGAGGGAAAGGAAACGTGTATACCCATGGCTGATTTGTGTTGATGTGTGGCAAAAACCAACACCATCTTGTAAAGCAATTATCCTCCAATTAAAAAATAAATAAAATTTTTAAAGAAGAAGAAAAAACTGATCAGCATATTACACTGGCCAGAGCAGAGAAATAGCTAGAATTGGAGAGAGAATAAACGACTATTTTGGGTCTGCCTGTCACCGAAAATCTTAAAAAACAGTGAAAACACACAAAATTTATTTTTCTCTCTAGGGCAGTTGGGGGTGGTTCTGTTATCATCAGGGACTCAGGTACCTTCTATCTTTCTGGATTTCTGTTCTCAAGCATGTGACTTTATCTTCAGGGTTACCTCCTGGATCAACATGGCTGCTAGATCTCTAGCCCTCACACATAAATTCAAGGCAGCAGGAAAGATGGGAAGAGGGGGGCAAAAGGCATCCAATACCAGCTGGTTTTCCTCTCTAGGAGACTTTCTCTGAATTTGCCCTCACGGTTTCTGCCTGCAGTCTCATCTACTAACTCCTGGTTGCAAAAGAATCTGAAAAATGTAGCTGGGAAATGTACTTTGCATCCGCAAGTAACGTGAGATCTGGTTGTAAAGGAATGGGATGGAAGCACCTAGAAGATTGGTCACAGTCAGACAGCTGTTAAAGGCTTTTCCGTTCTGGAGAGGCACGGCCAGGGTGGAGCTTTGGAGGAGCTGATTTTGCAGCCAACTGGAAGCAGTGGAGGCCTCCAGTCTGTAGTGAAGAGCTTTGTGTTACTGAGGAGGCATTAGGGTCAGGAGAGACCGATGTGATGGAATTTGTGAAGAATGCATTGACCAAGGAGATTGTATTCTTTTATTAGCCATGCAGTTCAAAACTGCATTTCAACAAACACACACACACATACGTTTGTGGGGTATGTGAATGTGTGTAAAAATACATTATATTCATATTCATAAACATGTGTATATATGAATATGTGTGTGTGTACATTACTGCTGCTGCTGAGTCGCTCAGTCGTGTCCAACTCTTTGCAACCCCGTGGACTGTAGCCCACCAGGCTCCTCTGTCCATGGGATTCTCCAGGCAAGAGTGTTGGGGTGGGTTGCCATGCCCTCCCTCAGGGGGTCTTCCCGACCCAGGGATCAAACCCGGGTCTCCTGCATTGCAGGCAGATTCTTTACCCTTGAGCCACCAGGGAAGCCCATGTATGTGCATATATATGAATAAATATATATATATGTGCATATATATTATATGCACACACATATATATATATATATATGAATGGAAACCCAGGAAAGACATTTAGCTAAATTTCCAGGAAACAGGATCTGGATAAACAAACAAAAAAAATCTCATGGTGTTTTTATATACAGAACATTGGCTGGAAATTTAATGATGCAGTTTATGGAGAATAGGTAAATAATGCACAGATGAATAGTGTATGCATACACACAACACAAACAACATAAAACTTTTCTAGGGCTCCTCCCACCAATTGCAATAATTTTCTAACTTTGGCATCCCTAAACAAAGAAAAAAGAAAAATAAAAAGGAACTAAATTGTAGACTTTTAAAGGAACTAAGAGGTGAAGGCGTTGTAAATATCACTAAGAAGGGGTCATAAGAAATCAAGCTGGGGGAAGTGGGAAAGTTGAAAAGGAAACCAGTTTTTCTTTCTTTGCCTCTGTCTCCGTCTCTCTCCTCTCACTGTCTCTTCTTTCTTTAACTTTAGGAGGAGAAGGATGATGCATTTGGTAACCATACAGACTTTTCATTGCTGTGCTAAGTCGCTTTAGTCGGGTCTGACTCTTTGTGACCCCGTGGACTGTAGCCCACCTGGCTCCTCTGTCCATGGGATTCTCCAGGCAAGAACACTGGAGTGGGCTGCCATGCCCTCCTCCAGGGGATCTTCCCAACCCAGGGATTGAACTCGTGTCTCTTGTCTCCAGGCAAGAACACTGGAGTGGGCTGCCATGCCCTCCTCCAGGGGATCTTCCTGACCCAGGGACTGAACCCTCATCTCTTACCTCTCTTATGTCTCATGCATTGGCAGGTGGGTTCTTTACCACTAGGAGCCCCAGGGACACCCCAAGAGTTTTCATGACGAGCTCCCGGTGAGAAGGAAGTTCAGCTCCATGCCATCACCACATCCCTTTTGTTAAGCCAGGGGCAGCAAGTCATGTCTTGCCGTTTTGCCGATAACGAAATCAAAGCCCGTCTGCGGTGCTGATAGGATGTAGCCAGGCCCTCAGCCCGGGCGTTTTGGAACTCTTTGCATCCATGGTACATGCGACACCCACATATACACACGTGTAGGTAACCCAACAGGCTGGGCACAGTGACCGAGTTGGTCAGTACCACTTTCTTAGTCCTGCATGTTTGACATCTTTGACTGCAAGGCAACATGCGTTTTCCTTTTTGCTTTTAAAATCAGCTGAATAAGCAGAACATGATTTTCTGATTCCCACCCCTCTCCCCTGACCCCTGCGCTGCACCGCCCAGTGGCATCATGTGAAGCTAGTCCGAGGCCTGCTTTTTCCCACCACCCGGTGGAGAGGAGCTGGTCTGGTGGGGCGCTGGCTGCCCGCTGTTCCCCGTCTCTTCGCAGGAAGCCTGTCGAGGCAAGCGCTGGAATTTCTGCTGTAATGTCCTGGACAGAGTCTCTCATTAAGATGTAAATGCCTGTACACTTACGTAGTAAAAGTACAAAAACATGCATGGGAAAAAGACGCCAACTGTAAAATAGTGGCTAGCTTGGTGAAGGGGGGGGAGGGGGGAGAGAAAGGGAGATAGGTCACCGTGTTCCCTTATTTTATTTATTGTAAAGAGAGAGGTGAAGCCAGTAGAGCAAAGCTGAATGGTGGGCCCATGTGTGTCTGTAATATTGTCTTGTATCCCTTCTAAAAACTCTTTTTCCTTTATGTCAGAGCATAGCTGATTAACAATGTTGTGTTGATTTCAGGTGTACAATGAAGTGATTCAGTCGTACATGTCTGTTCTTTTTCAAATTCCTTCCCCATT